ACAGATCACGGATGAACCCTACAGCGTATCTTCAAGGCAAGAGCGTGACTATCACCAAATACGAACACGAGGACCAGAGCTATGAAAAAAATTACACGCTACCGAGACACAAGAAACTATTCCAACTCACACATGAGCAAGGGTACCACAGTTGGGATTCTAAGATACTCAGCAAAATGTAGCACTTTCACCACCACCACCGTTATTCCTGGAGACTTCACCATGTCAAGTAGCTTCAGGTTGAGACAATCTCTCCCACATCAATGCATGGCCACATAGGATATCCACCTACTGATACAGAAACGAGCGGACCACCTAAGGCGTTTGAAACAAAACATGGTCAGTAACAAGAAAAGTATGAGTGAGGAATTTCCTGAATGATCTAGGCAATACTAGCATGGATTATCCAACATAGATACAAGATTTCCTTCAATCTCCTTGAGTCATCTGCGTAAAGCCTACATAATCTCTTTACAATTTCAAGAGCGTTTACTATCTCTGTGAATGTTATGACAAACCTATTGAGGTGATGCTTGTGCCCACTGTTGTAGAACATCCACATTACACAAACTATCTCTCATAGCGCCTATTATACATTTTCTGACATATATATGAAATTGAAATGGCAAATTATTCCTATAACTAATTAGCTTCTCTCGGAAAGGTGTTTTTTAAGGTATTCTGAGTTTACAGTGCCAGTAAGCGACGGCTACATCTATATGTATCAGAACAACGTACATGCTTGAACTGATCAGAGTTCTTTGTACGTATATTTAGGCGCTGTGTCATAAGTCACAACTCTGACCACCACACGTTAAATGAGGCTTTGTTAACAAAGACACCCGCGCCGGGCGTTGAGCTTTTTATGGTCTATGGGGTTTTTTGAGAAAAACAAACCTCCCTGCCAGCATTTTCAGTCTCTTTTTTTATTACACCGTAAAACAGAAAGACATCATTATAAAGTTAACATCCATTTCATCTGGATAATGCTTAACCAAACTGGGGCTAGAGTCAACTATTTTCATGATACGAACCGCTCTAATTGTAAAAATCCATGAGCATAGTATGTCCACATGAAGGAGCAGAGAGTATGCACTACCCTACATATTTTTTCAGTTCATTTAAACATCTGTCTTGTATCATGACAAGAAAGTACCACTCTAAAAGTGGGTTATCTAACTATTGGTTTTGCCTATCAGACTAGCGTTATTTTAGTACAGAACATTTTCAGTATACCCATTGCTTTCATCGATTCTGACCCTTATTATGTAAAACAACAAACAATCTAGTCACTTGAAATTCATATACGGCTGGTGTCCAAACCGTCAAATCCCCTTTTTTAGAGATTTGACCTTACATCACGTGTTTTGCATTATTCTCACCTTCTTATCATCTGACATCTAGTGGTCTGAATTGGGACACGAAATCACTGTCCATGACCGACATATATTTTCATATCGATATAACACCATCAAGAGCTTTTCCATGCCTCGCTAAGAGAATACAAGAGGACATGTACATTCTCAAAGCTTCATGAATCTGCAGCTTCCCTTTTCAGTCTTTCCTCACATTACTTCTTATTCACATTTCACACTGTCCTCATGTTATTTTTTTATCCTCTCTCTCGACTCACAACTACACTTATACTAGTTTTATTTTAGGTCTCTATCCACCATCATTAAATACCTTCTGATGCCTTTTCTCTATGTAGTACCATTGTAGAAATCATCTGGGTTATTATTATTTTTTACTATTTAAAGAGGCACTTTGCAGGTTTTTTCCCACCCCAAGAGGGAAGCTGACCTGGCCCCTTCCGGGCTCACTTAGAATTAAAAATCAGGCGGCAAATACTCAATTACCTGCTACCGCACCTAATCTGAACCAAAACAACTGGCTCTAAACCGGGAACGTGACACACTCTGCACTTTGTTTGGCACAAGTGAACGGGCAAACACTCCACAGCTAACACGGAATTCGAGCACCAGGGTAAACTGCATTCCAGTGCTTTCCCTGGCAACCAACTTGTCTTGTCTTCTCCTGTGAGAAAGAGCCACACAGCTGAGGCGAGCGCCGCAGGCAAACGAGTTGCCCACGGAAGCTCGACACACCAAGTACAATGCTAATCACACCCATCAGCCAGGTTCAGGAGGATCCAGCATGCGATCTCTCGATTTTTTGCTCATTTGTTTTTGATTCTCTCTATCCCTTCCTATCCCCCAATTGCCTCGAAAAACAACTAGACATGGCTTCGATTCACTCTCCTCCATCAGCTGTGCAGGAGCAAAAAACAGTTTTATAAATGCCATAAAACAATTTTGGGAACGACATTCCCCGCGCTTGCCTTTTTTTTAATATAAAATGTATTGTTACACCATCCTACAGAACCCAAACAACACTGACAGCTACAGCCATGCTAGCAACCTGTGGAATTCTTCCAAAATTTTTATCATTATAAAACTGTTTTTGCCTCTTCTGCACAGTGATGGAGGAGAGTGAATCGAACATGTCTAGTTGTTTTCAGTGACAATTGGGGATAGAAGGGGATAGAAAATCAAAAACAAATGAGCAAAAATTCAAATCATGCTGGAATCCTCCTTGAACCCTGATGGTGGTGATACACATTGTGACTTTGTGTCAGCTCCGTGGGGCAACTCTTCCTGCGGCGTTGCCTCAGGGGCTGTTGCTCTTTCTCACAGAGGAACAACAAGTTGTTGCCAGGAAACATCTGAATGCAGTTTACCCTGTGCTCGACATCCGTTACTGTGGAGTGTTGCCCGTTCACTTGTGCCAAACAAAGTGCAGTGTGTGTCACTTCCCTTTAGAGCCAGTTGTTTTGTTCAGATTAGTGCTACAGTAATTGATATTTCCCCTGATTTTAATTCTAATGAGCCCGAAGGCCAGTCACTTCCCTCTTGGGTGGAAAAAACCTGCAAAGTGCCTTTTAAATAGCTAAAAAATAATAATAACCAGATATTTCTACAATGTTATCTGAGATAAATCAGAAGGTATTAATTGCTATTAGAAATAATAATAAAGCTGTTTGAAGGAGAAAAATAACAACAGGGGAAAAGTGAAAGAGAAAGGGAAAAATTATAAGCTTTAGAAGTCAACTTGTATCTCTTAAAGCAAATGGAAAGCTCTGATGTGTCATATTGAATATGTCTGCAGAGTCATAAAACATATGTTCAGTGATAAAGGTGATTAAAACAGTGATGAAACAAAGGAAGTATAGAAAATGACAGGTTTTTATAGGTCAGATAAGAAAGCAATGGGCTCATAAAAACATCAAGGCAAACACAATAAACAAAGGGTCTTTGTCAAGTCAAGACGAATGAAAATAGGTAGATACTTGGACACATGTATGGATTTTGTCTTAGAGGTTCCTAAATGTTTTTGTTAAGTATCCATTGGATGTATTTAATGTTTCTTTTTTGTTTTTCTCAAAAAACCCTAACCATAAAAAGCTAACGCCGGGCCTGTCTTTCTTAACACAACAACCCATTTAACGTCTGCTCAGAGTTGTGACTAGACACAGCGCTAAATATAGTTACCAAAGAACTCTGATCATCACATGTCGTGTTCTGAATACAAATTCAGATGTAGCCGTCGCTTACTGCACTTAACTCAGAACTACCTTAAAAAACACCTTTCCGAGAGAGCTAAACTTAGTTATAGAATAATTTGCCATTTCTATTTCTATACGTGTCAGAAAATGAGTGCGCAGAGACAGATGTTTCTCAGTTGGCACGTCTATTAAGTGTCAAAATGCAAGAAAAGCTATAAATGTACATACAGGGACAGGAGATGAGGACTGTATCATGTTGGATAGCTGTAGCCATCACAGGAATCCCTTATTAAACTGTTTGTGGTGCTTCTGTGGGATTGATAGAGAAAGTGGTCTTGCGGTTTGATAAATTGGAGCGGTGTATTATAATACACCTGTACCAGTCCCTCTTCTCATAGTTAATTTTTTTTGGTAGTCCTGTTAAAATTGGCTAAGAACGCACCATAAAGACCGCCTAAAAAGTACATAATCATTGTACAAATTAGGGTTGACTAATTACTTTGTTGAAGGTGTTGATTAATGAGATTTTGTGCTAATATTCACTTTATTTTAATTGGATGATTTTCATATTTCCCTCAAATTTAAAGGGGCACTCCAGCAATTTAGTATTGCACTTACAAAGAGACAGTTTTTAAAACTGCTCAAAATTGATGCAGCAGAGGCGGATATATCTTGGCTTTTAGTCCCTAGTATGGCTAAAGTTCTAAAAACAGTGAAGTGGAGTGCCCCTTCAATAACTGACAAAAAACACTCTGCATCACGTCAGATACACATCCCTGATTGGCC